AAGGACAAACATTTATTGGAAAACGAGCGAGAAGAAGTCGAGGATATAGACAACGAAGAAGATCACATCGAACGCGAAGATGAAATTCATCTAAGAAGAGCCGCGGGTAGACCTCGGAAGATTTTGACCGGACGGAAAGGAAGGCCGGCGAAACAATATCGCATGGTACAAGATCGTGAGGAAAACGAAGCGCACGAGGATAACAATCATGAAATCAGTGAATTCGCATGCATATCCGAAATACCCCTTCAGGAAGCTATCGAAGGTTTAGACGCCGACGAGTGGCTACAAGCCATAACAACAGAGATGAAGTCGATTGTCAAGAATGACACTTGGACGCTGGTGGATCGTCCTAACAACAAACGAGTGATCGGAAGCCGAGTCGTGTTGAGGAATAAATTCAATCAAGACGGAAATCTGGAACGGAGAAAGGCACGTATCGTCGCAAAAGGTTTTGCTCAAAAGTACGGCGTAGACTTCTACGAGACATTCGCCCCGGTAGCTCGACTAAACTCAATACGCACGATCGTAACTATTGCAACTCAACATGACATGTCAATAAATCAATTTGATATCACTACCGCTTACTTAAACGGCACATTAGAGGAAGATGTTTTCATGGAAATCCCGGAACTCACAGAAGAGGCATTAAAGCTGCTAACCCGCAAGGAAGGAATAAATAGTAAAATTAGCAACAAAGCGAATAAAATGCTCAAGGATTTAGAAGCAGGCAACAAGGTCTGCAAATTGAATAAAGCGTTATACGGCCTCCGGCAGGCCGGACGACGTTGGTACGTCAAATTGAACGAAGAATTAAAACAATTTGGACTTAATCGATCAAACATCGACCCTTGCATTTACTATATGAATCAAGGGGAAGACTTACTCCTAGTGGCTATATACGTAGACGACTTACTGGTTGTTTCACGGAACGACACTCTTATCGCCGGATTGGCGAAATATTTGTCAACGAAATTTGAAGTACGAGACTTAGGAAGATCAAAGTATTGTTTAGGCATTGAGTTCTCGCACGAAGAAAACGGAATAAAAATGAATCAAAAGGGATACATAAATGATATCTTAAAGAGATTCGGAATGACCGATTCACGACCAGTATCCACTCCAATGGATCTGGGTTTAAAACTCAAAAGAATCGAAACTCAAACTGCAGAGGATCGAAACTTACCTTACAGAGAGCTTATCGGATCACTGATGTATTTAGCTATTTGCACCAGACCCGACATCGCATATGCAGTTAGCTACCTAAGCCAGTACAACTCATGTTTCAACAAGACCCATTGGGTCGCAGCAAAGAGAATCTTACGATATTTGAAGGGCACCTCTAATTTAGGTTTATATTTCAGAAAGGACACGAATTCACTCAAAGGCTACTGCGACGCCGATTGGGGAAATTGCTTGGAGGACAGAAGATCATATACTGGCTACGTTTTCATATTAGCAGGTTCTCCAATCGCATGGGAATCCCGGAAACAAAGGACAGTGGCCCTCTCTTCGACGGAGGCGGAGTACATGGCTATGACTGAAGCGACGAAAGAAGCCATATGCACACGAAAATTTCTAGTAGAACTCAATCTTAACAAATTAGCTGACGTCACGGTGTTGAGTGACAACAACGGAGCACAAAAATTGGCAGAAAACCCAATGTTCCATAGTCGAACGAAGCATATTGACATTCGTCATCACTTCGTTCGGGAGGCCTTAGAAAACGATCTCCTAAAGATACAACATGTTTCTACTGACGATATGACAGCCGATATCTTGACCAAAGGGTTATCTCGTCCAAAGCATTTAAAATGCATTGAACAACTTGGTCTTGATGGAACGAAGTTCAACAGTTAAAAGATTCGCCCGCCTTTTTCTCGAGGGGAAGTGTTGGAACCATTAGTTCCTATGACTGCGACATGCGGGCGCCATCTGTATGGCTGTAATTTGTGAACCGCTTTTTATGTTGAGACACAACCGATCCTCGTTACTGTGCCACAAGCTGATAATAAATATCGTCTATCTTTAAACTTGTAACAAAATATCATTTTACTAGTTCCACACGATTCTTATCCACTAACTCCCATTCTAACATTATAGCAAATATATTGTATAAATAAATAAAAATAAATAAAATATTTTAATATCTCATAAAAAATTTTTTTTTGAATATATTAATACATTATTATATATTTAAAAATATTTAAAGAAATATAATTAAAGAAAATATAAAAATATTTAAAGAATAATGAAAAAAAGAAGTAAAATATCCAAAGCATACTTGTAAAGCAAAAAATTAATAAAATGCATATATCGACGTTGAAATAATTAGAATCTGAAATGCTTTTTAATTGTATAATTAATTTTAAAAGAATTTTGAAAATTTTGAAAATTTTCCAATCTCATTATATTAAGTTTTTGCATAATAAAGCTATATATATACTTTTTTATAAATTACACTATATATATAATAATAATTCCATCATATATCAAGAATTTAATATAAAGTAAGTAGATTTGATTGACATTGATGATACAGTGTCAATCAAACTTAAATATATTCAGAAATTGCGAAATAGAAATTTCCTATGTTGTGTAATTAGTATGCGTCAGTTAAAGATACATAATCTACATTACGTTTTGCTCATAATACACCTTTCTCATTATACAAACTTTCATTTTCAATTACTTTCGTACGAACCAAATTATTCAAAATAATGGAGCATTGATAAATGAAATTGTTTTAAATCATAAAACTGTATTTTGTAAAATGTACCGTTCCTTTAACATATTTTGTTCAATTGCATTTCGATTCGAAAGGAAAAAGAAGTTGCGCGCGCATCTGCAAATAAACGTTTAAGGTTTTTATAAAATCAGAAGTGACAGGTCATAATGACGGTGATGGCGTAAAAACAAATATTTAATTTTGAGTTATTAATAATATTTTTCCCTTACTTACTTAAAACAATGTAGAAGCATAAGAAATGTTAAAATCAAGTAAAAAGATTGTACACTGAACTAACAAGTTTAAAAATTTATAAAAGTTATAAAATTTAGTTATAAATTTATAAAGTTATAAATCTATAAAATTTATAAAAGTTTATTAATTTTTTTAATCGCAGACTTTTTATCATCTAATCCTATTTGTTTCGAATGATTAATAGTTATCATTTCTTAGATTTATTCGAAAACACAATAAATATATGTATAAATTAAAGTTGTGATTCTCATAATTATAATACATAACACAATTATATTATCATTAGCATCGCACAGATTTAGTTTAGCATAAAATTATATTTATTATATTGATTTGGTTATATTAAGTTACTAATGTTTAAACATTACTTTTTAAAGAAAATAAATTTGAATAGATCAACAAATTTATAATAAAATAAATGTTGTTTTATTCATATTTATTACATAGGGACCTGCTAAAGTTGATTAAGTTTTAAGTTAAAAGTTTGATATTTTGTATAGCAAGAATAACAAGAAAAATTATAATACCTCAACAAGAGGTTCAATAACAAGAATGATTTAATATAACTTTACTAGAGCAAATGTGTATTGTCCATATATATTCTATATTTAAATTTATATATTAAGACATTTCTGTGTATTTTATATACACAATTAAATTTTTTTTTCTTATTGAATAAATAAATAGCGAGAAAAAGAGAAAGAGAGAAAGAAAGAGAGAGAGAGGGAGAGAGAAGTTTCAATTTTAATTTCAATCTATTTTTAGCTTAATGGACTTATATCAATAAAATTTTTTGTGCAATAAATATTATGTGCATCACAAAAATATGCATGCAATTTAAGCGTCACATTCCCTATTAAAATTTGTACGTAGCGTAACGATAGTTTACAGAGAAAACAAAAATATCATAAAGTTAACGAATTATTCGAATAGATAAATTAATACACGTTATAGTCTCATTCATAAACAAACAAACATTAACACGATAAAAATACATCATCATTCATACACATTTATATATAAATGTTTAAAATAAGTTAATTATATTAAAGTAAATAAAAATAATAAAAATAAAAGAAAATGTGTGTGAAATGTATCGCGGAAATAAAAATGATTTGATATACATAGCTATTCCTATTTAAACGAAACAAGTATATAAAAATATATACTATGGGACAATATGAAAATTATATAAATTTAGAAATATTTATAAGTAGAGATTTTAAAAATACTCTATCGTTTGATTTATAAATCATTATTTAGATTCTTTTTTCTAAATTTCAAGATTAAATACCGTATTATTGTAGTATTCAAATTATAAAAAAAACTTCTTGATATGTTGTATACAAATAAAAATGTGTGGAAAAGAAATAATAAAAAATTTGAAATATATATTTTACTTCATCAATGGAAATTGAATGTGACAAGTGACAAAGTATGTTAAAATGAATCGAAAGGAATTAGGCTCGTTATGTATTAAACAACAAGATAAGAAAACTGGCGTCTCCGAGCCACAGCGGATGATAATGCCTAAAAATTCTTTAATTGTACGCAAAAATTTTTAAAACGAGAACGAGGCATATGCATATATTTTACTTGGTGCATTTACCAAGATATATAGATTCTCATTTTTGAGAAATTCTATAAAAACCCTCTTTACCCCCCTGGAAAGACGTAGATGAGAAAAATATCGGGGCGAAATCGCTGAATCGGAAAACGAATCCGAATCTTTCGCTTGCCGGGCGACTGCTCTTATCACTGAGCTATTCAGCCCCACGTGGGAAGAATTTTTAGGCATTACCATCCGCTGTGGCTCGGAGACGCCAGTTTTCTTATCTTATGTTAAAATGCGCCAATTTTTCGATTAAAAATTTTAAAATTTATCAACAAGTTTAATTATCGAACTAAAATCTTTTTCATCAGTATATTTACAGGTTTGGCAAAAAATAATTTGAAAATTGATACTGATTTTGTTTTAAAATAATGATAAAAATAAGCCGAGAATGATATTAAATACCTGTTGACGTTGATGATGTTTCACACATTCTTATTGATTAATTAATTTCTTTGTATTTAATTTCTTCCGATCGTGATTACGATCGAGTAGTAGTATGATGTTCTGTTCTATTTGCGTTTGTTATTTTACGAGAATGGATTGCACGTATTCCGTGTTCGTACTGAGCTTCTGCGTAATCCGTTCTGAATATTATACTGCAGTTATTACTAGTCAATTATCCCAGTCGATTAATTATATAGGTTATTAAATCTTATTTCCTTTGCGTCATTCAGTATTAAATGACTAAAGACGCAATTTATAAAAGAAATAAGATTTTTTGTTCACTTATAAGATGCAAAATAACGATTACAAGGTAACTAATTAACTTTCATTAAATGTCAAATATAGATTTAATAGGTATTATATTTATTATATAATTATAGATTAAAAACTTTAAAAAACAAGAATTATATAATATGTCTTTGATTTTATATACTCTACTCGTAGATTTGGGATAGACAAATAATATTTTATATATATTCTTGATAATAAATTGTTACAATTGCGTTAGGATATTCTCTTTTTGAATGAATCCAGCAAATATCGATTTTCTCCTACTCTCACTCTTTTGTTAATATAAGTTATGAGTTAATAGACCTGCATCGTTCTTAGATTTTCATGAAATAAAGCAAAAACATTATACAATATCGTATAGTTAATATAATTGAAATGTGGAATGTATGAATTTTTGTGATCTTAACAAACAAAATACTAATACTTTTTACGAAAAACTTTACAAAAATGTTAACTATTTAAATATAATATTTAAATTTTTGAACTTTGAATTTTTTTCATACTTTTAACAAAGTTTATATCATAATATAAAAAGTTTCATTAAAATAAATATAAAAAAATTTAAAATATTAACAGCTGAAATAGTCGTTTAGTGTCATAAATAAATAAGATAAAAAGGAAATAAACAGCCGAAAAAGAGTAAAAAAAGGAAGAATAAAATTATATTATATTTTACTATTAAATCTCTCTATTTTATTACTAAATAACGGGGCAAATTCTATTTAATATTATCTTATTCCATTTTTTATAGCAAATTGTTCAAAATTAAAATGAACATTCGAGTTCGAAAAACGCATATCGAAGTTCGCATCTTTTCGCTAATAAATTACGAGAATTTAAAATTAACGGGCGTCGAGAATCTTCTCGAAATATCTGTTATTAGGAAAAAACCTCGAACGCTCGAGTTTTCGTTTTTTTTGCCACCAGAAAAAACGCGCGTTATTACCGCTGACAATATTATTGTCAACCGCCGTCAAAATTACTCCGCTCATGGGCATGCGCGCCCATGCGTCACGATCAGCTGATCGCCAATCAGCTGATCTAAAAGGATTGCGCACACGAAAAACAAACGACATCCATCGTGAGACGTCATTAACGACCAATGGCACACGCCGCAACAGTGTCACCGCTAAATTATGAAATTAATTGGTCCACGTCGAAGCGGGCCCAAAATCCGCTCGCTTTATAATGGGCACCGCGCGTGGACCAAGCAAGTCTTGCACTTTTCGAAGTCTCGTACTTATCGCTGCTCGCAGTATTTCAAACCGCTTAGAAAACCGCATTGTTCAACCGCAAATTACGTCGACCGCTTTGTTTCTCGGACTTTTCTTTACTCTTTCTGTGCCTAAAATACATGTACATTTTTTTGGTGTAAATTATTAATTGTGTGGTTTAAAATAAAAAATCAAAATCAAAAAAAGAATTACGTGTCGTGTGAAGTTTTGTGTCAAATACTTTGTTCGCGACTATCCGTCTGCCGCGTCTTCAAAATCTCGCGCTGTCGCAGCAATCCGCGCTTACTCGCGAACATTTTTGGTCCTTCGAGCCGGATAATATCTGCATCCGCAGTTTCGTGGGTGACATTTCCAGTGCTGTGCAGTGCTGAAACAGACGAACAAATAAGTGACCAATGAGTGCCGACCTGAAGGCCTTGTTAGAGGCTCAGACCGACATCCACGGACGAATGTCTCGCTCCGTGGATAACCTCCGGAAGATGGGCATCACCAACATCACCGCAGGTGCCATCCAGGCTCGCCTCAGCATCCTCGACAACCTCTGGGCGAAATTCGAGGCTCAACATGAGCTGATACGAGCGGCGCTTAAAGACAGATACATGGAGAGTGAGTACGCCAAAAGTGACTTTGTAGACACCGCGGAATGTACGTACGTTTCTCAGCGAAGCACGTTGAGCGACTATGCTGACAGGCTGAGCGCCGAGTCAGGTGTCGCACACCGAATCGAGCCGAAGTCGGAGTCTTCTCCTAAAACCGCGTTGCCTCGTATAAAATTGCCGCCGTTCTCAGGCGCCTATGAAGATTGGCCTTCCTTCCGGGATCTCTTCTTGTCTCTCGTGGGAGAAAATTCGTCGATCTCAAACATTGAGCGGTTCCACTATCTTCGCTCCTGCGTCAAAGGATCTGCGGAGAAGTTAATTAGGTCATTAACTGTCACAAGCGAGAATTACGATCGCGCGTGGGCAATCCTGGCTAAACATTTTGAAAATAAAAGGGAACTCATGCGTTTAAATTTCTCTACCTTCTCTGCCGTCGGAAAGATGAAGTCTGAGTCCGCTGAAGAGCTGAGTCGCGTCCATCACGCTGTCACGGCCACCGTCAACGCGCAGGAGAGTATAGGAAGACCCATCCACTCGCATGGGATGGATCTCCTCAATCACCTGGTGATTGAGTTGTTCGACTCGCGAACACGTCTCGAGTGGGAATCTTCCACGAGCGATTCTCTCGACCCGCCAACGCACGAGGCTCTCGTAAACTTCATGAGCAAAAGAATCCTTACCTTAAACGCCGCTAAACCGAAGAACGCCACGAAGAACGCTGGGGAAACCTCACGGTCCGCTAAGTCTCACTTCGTGAGGAACGGGTTCGACGCTTCCAAGTGCGTCGCGTGCAAGGGCAAGCACACACTCATGCAGTGCCCTGAGTTCAAGGCCAAGTCCGCGAGCGAAAGAAAGTCATTCGTCGACACAAGCGGGCTCTGTTTTAATTGCCTCGGAAATCACGTGATGGCGAAATGTCAGTCCGTCAAAACGTGCTTTACTTGCAAATCGCGGCACCACACATTGTTGCACGACGCGTACGCGACACCAACATCGACACACGAGGCAAGCACTTTTTCAACCACACACACTGCACACGATCACAAGGCGACTCTTCTCGCCACGGCGCGCGTCATCCTCAACGACCGCTCGGGACAACCTCACGACGTGCGAGCTCTGCTCGATCAAGGATCCGAGGTGTCTCTCGTCTCAGAAGATTTAGCTCAGCGCCTGCGGTTGGCGCGCACTCGCTGCTCAATGTCGGTAATCGGTGTTGGAGCACGGTCAGGATCCACGCGCGGAAGGATCACGCTCGTATTAAAGTCCAAGACGACTGGAGCATACCTCAGTGTAGTCGCCTACGTCCTTCCAAGGTTGTCTTCCTACCAGGGGCCAGCAGTTCGGGACTCCACCACGTGGAGGCACATTCACGGCCTCACTTTGGCAGATCCACACTATCTGCAGCGAGACCCGATTCATCTTCTCCTCGGCGCCGATGTCTTTTCCTCCATCCTTCTCGATGGACTCCGAAAGGGTCGCGAGGACCAACCCGTCGCGCAGAGGACGACTTTCGGGTGGATCTTGTCAGGAGGCTGCGGAGTGGTGACATCTAATGGCGTCGTCAGCTCCCTCCAGTGTGCTCTCGACCAAGACCTGAACGATCTGGTTCTAAGATTTTGGGAGCAAGAACGGGAACAGCCTGCTTCCGTCGCCCTCACACCAGATGAAGAACGATGCGAAGAAATCTTCAGTCGCACTCACGAGCGCCAAGGAGACGGGAGGTACCAGGTACGACTGCCGCTGGCTGGCTCTCTGCCACCTCTCACCCATACACGAAAGTCCGCCGAGCGACTTCTCGCGGCAATGGAGCGACGTCGTTCCAGAGACGATGACTTCGACATGCTCTACTGCGACTTCCTAGAAGAATATGCTAAATTGAAGCACATGACTTTGATCAATACACCGCTTGTGAGCAATACACCAGTATGCTACTTACCGCATCACGGAGTGCTCCGAACTGCGAGCAAGACCACCAGATTGAGGGTTGTCTTCAATGGATCCCAATGCACGCCTGCCGGAGACTCCCTCAACAAGAGTTTACTGGTCGGAGCCAACCTTCTACCAACTCTCGCTGATGTCCTGCTTCGCTGGCGTTGGCACCGTTTCGTCTTCGTAGCTGACATCGAAAAGATGTACAGGCAGATTCTCGTGCACCCCGAAGACCGAGACTTGCAGCGGATCCTGTGGAGACGGCAAGGCACCGACAACATCCAGGAGTATCAGCTCAACACCGTGACGTACGGATTGGCCTGTGCTCCTTTCCTGGCGATCAGAACTCTTCGCCAATTAGCCGACGACGAAGAGCCCGGAAATCCCAAGGGGGCTGTAGTTCTGCGGCGCGACTGCTACGTTGATGACATCGTCACCGGTGCCAGTACTCTGTCGGAGGCAGTCGAAACGCAGAAGCAGTTACGCCGGCTCTGCATGGCGGGCGGGTTCCCGTTGAGGAAGTGGGCCTCAAATCACGAGACCATCCTCGAGGACATCCCAAGGGAGCATCAACTCCAGCAGCCTCATCACGACTGGGAGGACGACGCTCATCCAACGCTGGGCCTGCGATGGCACCCCCGCAGCGACTTCTTCACGTTCCGCCTTCAGCCTCGCGCAACTGGACCGTTGACGAAGCGACAGGTCTTGGCAGAGACGGCTCGGATCTTCGACCCTCTAGGTTGGTTAACTCCAGTCGTTGCTCGTGCCAAGATTCTCATTCAGTCAGCCTGGATGAAGCACCTGGATTGGGACTCCCCACTGCCTAAGACAGATGAGACCTTATGGAGACGCCTCCTTGACGACCTTCCGCTGTTGGAGCAGCTTCGGCTAAAACGATGGCTGAATACTGACGAGCGGCCACAAGTTGAGTTCCACGGGTTTGCTGACGCATCGGAGCGAGGTTACGCAGCAGCCGTCTACCTCCGCGTGGCGGGCTCCTCCGCTTCAATCAGTAGTCTGCTTGCTGCAAAAAGCAAGGTTGCACCCATTAAGCCCGTGTCTCTACCGCGTTTAGAATTGTGCGCCGCAGTGCTAGTCACTAACCTGACTTCCCATCTCCGCAAGACCTTAGGCTTGGTTTCAGCTCCAGTCACCTTATGGTCGGATTCCCGGGTGACTCTCCAATGGATCCAGGGTCATGCCTCCAGATGGAAGACTTTCGTGGCCAACAGGGTGTCCCACATCCAGACGAAGCTTCCAGAGGCACGATGGCGACACATCCCAGGACGAGTCAACCCCGCCGACTGCGCTTCTCGAGGGATTGAGCCACGGGATCTTCTCAACCACTCTCTATGGTGGACGGGACCCCCATGGCTCGTCGAGGATCCGTCGCTCTGGCCACAGAACGACCACGCCACCCACGACGTCGAGGCGCCGGAGACGCGAGCAATCACCTCTCACTTGACGTCTGCACGGAGGACCGAACCGGAGATGCTCATCAGGTTCTCCGACCTCCATCGCCTCCTGAGAGTCACAGCTTGGTGTTGCCGATGGAGAGGCAACCCACCGAGCTCCAAGGCTCACCTCAACCTCACGGCCGACGAGTTGGAGGCGGCTCTGCTCCGTTGGCTCCGCTTGGTGCAATCTCACCACTTCTCCAAGGAGATCACCGCTCTAAAACAGAAAAAAGGGTTAGTCAAGAGTCAGCTAGCTAATTTGACCCCCTTCCTCGACATCCATGGAATCCTTCGAGTTGGGGGCCGGCTGAAGCACGCAGTGCTCTCAGAGGATGAGCGCCACCCAATCATCGTACCTTCAGATTCGTGGCTGACACATCTTCTCGTCAGGGCTCACCACAGACGAACTCTCCACGGCGGGGTCCAGCTCACTCTCAGCCTGCTCCGCCTACGGTATTGGATTCCTCGAGGTCGCTCCATCGTCAAGAGGGTCATCCACCGATGCGTAACGTGTGCAAGATGGAAGGCTGCAGTGCCGCAGCCCATGATGAGCGACCTTCCGACGGCGCGAGTCGCTCCAGCACGTCCATTCTTGCGGACTGGAGTCGATTACGCCGGGCCGATCCTGATCCGAACCACCAAGGGGAGAGGACACAAATCGCTCAAAGGCTTCATCGCCGTTTTCATCTGCCTCACTACCAAGGCCGTACACCTGGAAGCCGCGTCGGATTATTCCACGGACGCATTCCTCGCTGCATTCCGGCGCTTCACTTCCCGTCGGGGCCTCTGCGAGGAGGTCTACTCGGATTGCGGCACAAATTTTGTCGGCGCCAACCGAGAATTGCGACTCCTGTTCCAGGCGTCGTCATCCGACGGCCGGCGCATCGCCCACACAGCAGCGTCCAATGGAATACGGTGGAGATTCAATCCGCCGGCGGCACCTCACTTCGGCGGGCTTTGGGAGGCAGCGGTGAAGTCCACCAAACACCACCTGCGAAGAGTTCTAGGCGACACGACCCTCACCTTCGAGGAGATGTCGACATTCCTCGCTCAGGTGGAGGCGTGCCTCAACTCTCGTCCACTTCAGGCGCTGTCCGATGACCACGACGACTTAACGGCGCTCACTCCGGGTCATTTTCTAATCGGGGCTCCTCTGCTGGCAGTGCCCGAACCTTTGCTGGCAGACGTCAACGTCAACCTCTTGTCCCGCTGGAAACTTCTCCAACGGATGCGCGACCACTTTTGGGAAAGGTGGTCGCGGGAGTACATCAACTCACTGGCTTCCCGACCAAAGTGGTTGAAGGACACAGCAAGTCCCGCCGTCGGCGGACTGTGTCTAGTGCGGTCGGACATCACTCCACCAACCCGATGGCCACTCGCTAGGATCACCAAGCTGCATCCTGGGGACGACGGCGTGACGCGCGTGGTCACTGTACGCACCGCATCTTCGGAGCTTGTCCGGCCTCTCATCAAGATCGTCCTCCTGCCTGGAGCCGACACCGCAGCATCAACACGCCCGGATTCGTGAGCGAAACAGAGCACCGTGTTTTATTCATAGTTTATTTTTTTTTGCAAAATTGTCCGTCCACGGAATTGTTTATCACGGCCGTCGTGCGCTACTTCCGATAATCGCGCCGCGCGCTATCACATTCATCAACACATTTTTTATATCACTGCCGAGCCGCTTCATTAACTCTTCTTTCTTCGGACTCCGCGTCAAAATCAACTTTCACTGCACTCACAAAATCAGTCACAGTATCACTTCATATACCTCACATACACCGCACTACTTATTCTCGCGAAAGACTTATCACAACTATTTAACACGTGTCTTCTCTTTACGTCACTTCGCATTCCATTCATCACTCATTTCACATCTCTCAATAGCACAGTTCGCGACACCTGTTTGTAACCGCACACACTCGAAAATTTCGTCACGTACTGACGAGGCGGGCGGGATGTTCAAAATTAAAATGAACATTCGAGTTCGAAAAACGCATATCGAAGTTCGCATCTTTTCGCTAATAAATTACGAGAATTTAAAATTAACGGGCGTCGAGAATCTTCTCGAAATATCTGTTATTAGGAAAAAACCTCGAACGCTCGAGTTTTCGTTTTTTTTGCCACCAGAAAAAACGCGCGTTATTACCGCTGACAATATTATTGTCAACCGCCGTCAAAATTACTCCGCTCATGGGCATGCGCGCCCATGCGTCACGATCAGCTGATCGCCAATCAGCTGATCTAAAAGGATTGCGCACACGAAAAACAAACGACATCCATCGTGAGACGTCATTAACGACCAATGGCACACGCCGCAACAGTGTCACCGCTAAATTATGAAATTAATTGGTCCACGTCGAAGCGGGCCCAAAATCCGCTCGCTTTATAATGGGCACCGCGCGTGGACCAAGCAAGTCTTGCACTTTTCGAAGTCTCGTACTTATCGCTGCTCGCAGTATTTCAAACCGCTTAGAAAACCGCATTGTTCAACCGCAAATTACGTCGACCGCTTTGTTTCTCGGACTTTTCTTTACTCTTTCTGTGCCTAAAATACATGTACATTTTTTTGGTGTAAATTATTAATTGTGTGGTTTAAAATAAAAAATCAAAATCAAAAAAAGAATTACGTGTCGTGTGAAGTTTTGTGTCAAATACTTTGTTCGCGACTATCCGTCTGCCGCGTCTTCAAAATCTCGCGCTGTCGCAGCAATCCGCGCTTACTCGCGAACACAAATATATAAATAAATAAAAATAAATAAAATATTTTAATATCTCATAAAAATATTTTTTTTTGAATATATCAATATATTATTATTTATCAGAAAGATATTTAAAGAATAATGAAAGAAAAGAAGTAAAATATCTAAAGCATACTTGTAAAGCAAAAACTTAATAAAATGCATATATCGACGTTGAAATAATTAGAATCTGAAATGCTTTTTAATTGTATAATTAATTTTAAAAGAATTTTGAAAATTTTGAAAATTTTCCAATCTCATTATACTAAGTTTTTGCATAAACAATAAAGCTATATATATACTTTTTATAAATTACACTATATATATAATAATAATTCCATCATATGTCAAGAAGTTAATATAAAGTAAATAGATACCACATAAAAAGATAGATACGAATATTTTTTTAAATAGAGACTTACCTCTTTTTAAGAGAATTCCACATATGATTCCACCAAGAAACTTTGAGCTAATAATCAGCATTCACTTGGAAAATAGCTTTCCTATGTTTTACATTTTCAATGTAATATGGGAACGTCTGTGAGGTTATTATTAGCCAAAAATCAAACAAAATTAAAAAGTGCCTAATAAGAACTATCCTTTAACTAAAAAACATAACATTGCGAGAACTTCGCGCGAGCCATTGATTTCCTTCTGCTATATGATATAATTCGAAAAAAATGTATATATAATTATATATAATTCTATATAAAATTGATTATAAAGTAAAAATGTGAATTATGTTTTAATATATTTTTTAAATAATTTTTAATAATTTAATAATTTAATAATTTTTAATAATTTTTAATTCTTGTATAATCTAAATATTGACTTATTGGCAGTGCTTGTATAATTAATAAAGACAAAATTGGTTATAACTATTACAGCAATATGATTTCTCAATATCAAGCGCTTAAAAATTTCCATTTCTTATACATCTGTCATACACGATATAATATTAATGATTAAATCCGATTTAAAAAAATGCAACTCAAGCATAGGATGTTGCATAGGATGAATATGTAATAATTTAATGAAACAGAAGGATTCAGCACAAACAAGTCCAAAGTCTCTTATAATAACCAGTTTATATACCAGTTAATGATACCTTACATTTATTGATGCTATCATAAAATTGCTATCACAAAAAACACTATTTACGTAAATTAAAAAAACACTATTATGTAAATTAATAAAGCAAAAAATTTCAGCACACTGAGAAAAAAATCTGGTTGCATTAATTAGAATTCTGGTAGATACATACTGTATGTCTGTTGGAAAATGGACGAATCAGAATTCTTGTCAGGAATTACCAGATGAATTTGATTAATTTCTTTCTGTCAAATTTACCAAATTTTCTGGTTAATAATACTAAACTCACCAGCACAAAGTAGTCTAAAATTTTTTCCATCTAATCTCAAAAGTCTGTTTAATATTCTGAATTCCAACACGATTATTGCATAAATTCAATCCAGATTATTAAATAAATTATTTTAAGTTTAGTTTGCTAGAAATTAAACTGATAAACAGTGATGCAAGAAGAGGATGTAGTTCAAACACGCACAATCAGAGAGAGCTAGCGTCTTCTTTCTGGTACTACTGCTCGTAAGAGAAAAAAAATATACTTTAGATTTAATGTTAATACTAGGTTTTTATATACATTTCATGGCAAATATTGAATACGAGTTAAGTTAAGAGTGGCTCGCCGCCTAGCGGCAAGCAAAGAAATTAATGTAACAAGAAATTTTATAGATCCAACCAGAAAATACTAACCAAATCCTTATAGTAAATATACTGTATATCTGCCATCAAAAAAATGATTTGAATATTCAGAATGACACTGATTTTTAGATGATTCTGTCTTCATATTATCTGTAAATGCCTCACATTTTTAATCATATTTCCCGCTTGTCATTTTCCCTCTCTCTTCTCCTCCCTTTCTTTCCTATGCCTCCTACATCTCCCATTGCCAGTAATGTTTCAGATTTTCTCGCGACCACACTCCTTCACTCTTTACGCATAGCTTTGTCTTCTCCTTTCGCTTCTATTCTGATATACGTATTTTACCATAATTTCTACACCTGCCTTCAATTACTCACAGTATTGTTTAAAATTGTATTTCCATTGTGTTTTTTTATAATGATTATTTTTTCTTTACACTGTAAGCGAAATTTTTAAAATTTTTATCAGAGGTTAAGAATTATTTTTTAAATTATTGTACAATATGCTTGATATGAGTTTTTTTTTATCTTGACTGTGCTTGCTTTTTTTTGCTTAATTTTCTTACAGGCTTTCACCTCGTTATCAATAAATAAATAACTCTCTCTCCCTCTATATCTGAGGAATTTTGGAAGGACCTTTACGCTTTTTATCTTTCGGACGACGCTACTACGAATTTTATCAATACGACTCTTTTAATTTTTTGGAATGGATTTTATAATTTGCGACATTTCATCGTGGGATTAGAACGAGTTATATTATTTTCCCATCTTTTTTACAAAAGTTGAATTCCGTGACGATAGAACGATTTGTTTTTTTAAGCAATCCATATATATATAAATCTAATATAAATGAGGGAAGCGTGGCATAGTAGATAACGCACTAATCTATAAAGCCAAAGACTCCAGGTCCTGGGTTCAATTCCGGGTAGAACCGAAAAATTGTATACGTTCACTCCTCTCTCGGAAGCCAATGGCAAATCACTGAAAAATCTTGCCAAGAGCATCTCTCCAGGGTAGCCATTAGGGTTCTAATCGGCATTAAACTGTAGGTCCTATATACGGTGCGCAACACCAGTTTATCAAAGAGAAAGATCATTATGTTCGAAATCGAACAAAGGAGTGAACAAAGGAATGAGTTGCTCCTATTACCCAGTGCTTTTTCAGACTTGCTTTTCCTCTCCTTTGCTATTTCTTCGTTGCACTCACATTCACTCCCGAAAACAAGATTAATAAAGATTAGTTATATACGCCACGATCGTGAGGCACTTTGCACAACATTCCCGATCGCGTAATAATTACAATTAAAAGTTTAGCAAGTATTAATTATTATATAAAGTATTATAATTATTATAGCGAATTATGTTTCAATACTAATCGCGATTTCGTTTTATTGTTAAAAGAAAATTTGAAAATATACGTAGTATTTTGCACTCCCTCCCCCTTACTCTTCAAATGTTGCTGTGCGAATGATATCAAGGCTGTGACATGTAAACACAGCGCGTCATACGCCCCCAATGGTCCGAACGTGTTATTGTCCATTTATTGCCGAAATATTTTTTTACGTACTTTACATTTTACTTTACATTTAATATTAAAGTTTATAGGAGTGTTTTAGATTATATAGATTAATTAAATAATATTTATTAAAGGATTGATGTATCAGAAAGCTTTTCTATGTTAATTACTTCGATTTATGATTCGATTGTTTTTTGCTCTATGCGTTTTGAATCTAAATTCTATTTAAATAATTGAAAAATAAAAGATAAAGCTTCGCGGTCGAATTATATTTGATTTTATAAATATCATTAAAGTAATAATTTCTTCTAAAAATTGATTTTACATCAAAATTATAATTTATTATTTTAAATTTCTATTTCTACGATTCTTATTTGATTAAATAAATAAATTACGCGAAATATGCGCTTCGTTTCGTTATTTTCTATTAAAAGCGATAATGCAATTTTTTAATTATATACTAATTATATTTAAAATTGTAGAGTCTTAAGATTCATTTTATTTCCTTTAACTAATCATGCATGAGATGCAATATGTATTTTCTCAATCGC